AATTTCASTTATAACYTCGTAGTCTACTMGTTTGTAGCAGAGAAAGATCAATGTATCACAAACCTTCCAGTGTTGTAGAAAAAAGAGGGAGCATATGTTCTTGGTTTGATCACATAGGATTTACAAATGRTCATAACCTCCGAAAGCTGAGTTTCCTCCACTTGTGAAGAGAAACGACCCAACTGAGCAGAGCTGAAGTCGTTAACAGAAAGTCAACACCGTTAAAACATCTTGTACAAGAGTGAAATCCTCCCTGGATTCCCTCTGTGAGTGTGTGTGTGTGTGTGTGTGTATGTCGCCGGTTCCCACGCCGCTGCAGGCAGGTTTTGGTGAGACCGGCAACTGGACCACAGCTGCTGTCTGTCTGACTCTGCCTGGTTGCAGCTGCTCTGCGGTCGATGAGCTGAAACACCAGCAAACCAAAAAACAAGCACATGCAGCGCGTTCATCCAGAACCTCTGCGCTGCTCTGGGGCCAACCAGACCAAGCTGTGCATACCTTCAGCTTGAATCAGAACAAAACTACAGTGTGGAAACTAAAAAAAAAATCAAATAAGCTCCACACTGTAGCGCTAACAGACAGGTGATGTAACCCGCAGACGTTAAATCAGTCATGATGGCTGTAATTAATGACTCTGCTTGTGTCGGATCAGTGTGAAGATTYTGAGGTTGACGCGTTAAAGAAAGAAAAGGTGTGACAGAATGCCTGTAGGGGAGTTAAGTGTTGAGCTGGGCTCTCTTGAAGTCTTTCATCTGTGTTGGCAGCAATTTGTTTCCTTCCAGCTGTGAGTCTCTGAGGAACACCTACTTTACAGAGAAACACACAACAAATGGCCTCATATAGAGTTGGGATGGGAAGGTGAGCACAGAATCAAACAAAACACCTACTTTGTATTGTTGGAGTTTTTACAAAAGTGTGTTTACCAAAACTATATATTTGTTCAGTATGTCTGTATGTACAGTGGGTAAAATAAGTATTGAACACGTCACCATTTTTCTCAGTAAATATATTACTAGAGGTGCTAATG